TAAAACAATGAGATGATAATCACCTATCAGATTGTCACAGATTTTTAAAAATTGCTCAAACTCACACAAGGACAAGGTTGGAAGAAATATCTACTTTGTGTTTCTTCTGGGGGCACTGTAAAATCTTACTAGTACAACTTTTCCAGTGAATAATCTGACAAGAAGTATCAAAACATAAGATGTACATACTGTTTGTTGCAACAGTTCTACAAATAGATATTACATAAATTTGCAAAGAGGTATTCATACTTGTTAATAATTTTGGAAAATAGAAAGCAATGTCCCCTAGTAAGTAGGGGTTAAATAAATATGGTATAGCAGCCATGGACTACTATGCAGCCCTTAGGAAGAATAATGTAAATCTATATTGACACAGAAAGGTGGCTTCCATTATTATTTCTTTGAAAGCTGTGCCATTCAATTGGATTTTGCCGTCTCAGCAACATTTAACTCTACGGATTAGTTTCACCTTTGAGCTTCCATGATATATAATTATGTTAGTTTTTCTTTCCGGCGACATCCCCTCAGGGTCTTCATTTATCTCTTAGATGATGCCATCCTCAGCCCTCCAACACTCTCCATCAGCAATCGCATCCCCTTGCACACTGCCAATCACCATATTAATGTCAATGACTCCTAGGGCTACAGAAATAACCCAGGTTTCTCTGCTGAACTCCAGACCTAAGTGTGTGTACATTTGCTCAATGCAGACACTCAAATCTGTCACTTTGGCCAAGTCATTAAACTTCCCTTAACCTTTGTTAAGGAGATGCGATGTTGGCAGATGCAGAAAGAATCAGAGTGATGAGACTTATCTCACAGCAATTCCAATAAAAACAATTCCCAACTGTAACAAAGAGGAAAGGCTTTCTCAGCCCAGTACCTTTTTTGGGAATCTGTCACATCACACCACATGGCCAGTTACCCACTCCACCCATCTGATGTCTGCCCGGCTCTGCCTCACATCACTGGCACACCCTGGGCTTGCTGGAGGAACCAAGGAGACCTTCTGACCTCAGCTTGTCTGCTACTCAGCTAGAGTGTGTGGTGACATCTGTCTCAAGGCTCCGGGAAAGTGGTCAGTCCTAGGGCATGATTTCAAAATTCTGCTTAATTGTAATTGTTCTTAACAGATAGGTAATAGTTCTCCTCGCTCCATAATTATGATAGTCGATAGGAGACCTCTGAAATGGAAAAGAAAAACAAAACACAGGAGAAAACAGCTAAAAAAAAAACCCTTTATAGACAATTATATATACATTCATGGCTATAAGCACACCACATAGAATACGTGTGTGGGTTTACCATCAAGTTTCTATTTCCATTAGAAGGAGAAATAAGGAAGTATTCATCCAACAGTGACTCATGTTATTATTATAATAGGTTTTAATAAGAGCAAAGGTCAAATTTGTGTTGCCTTAAATAGTGTGGTTAAAGTCTCTGAAATGAGAAACCTTAGCTTGGAATCTTTGTGTCAACAATGAGCAATTTGTGTTGTCTAGCCTGCCAGTCTCAAAGAGCAATTATTTGATTCCCAAGCCTTAAACTCACTTATCAGTTGTGGTTTATAAAGTTGGTGATGCAGTTTGTGAGCTGATGTCATGCTTCCAACAGGGTGGTTTGGAAATGATCCATATGGGAATTCATTTTCAACGGAGGACGTGAGAGGCGTCGAATTAAGGCAGCACCTGGGCTCCTTCATCAGAGGAAATTTGGGTGTTTAGAAGTACAGTATGTCTTGCACATTAAGTGGAGGACCCAATTGACCTCACATCAGAGTGTGTCTGCTTTTGAAGATCTCTTTTTGCAGAGAGCACACACACCATGATCAAGTTCAGGACAGGGATCTTGTTTTGTTCACTGGTATTTAGTCAGTGCTCAGAACAGTGCCTGGCACATGGCACTCTCAGAAAATTTTTGTTGAATAAATTGTTAATACTTAAATTGTGTGCAAAAGAGAAAGAAAAAAATTAGTAGCTATTCAATTGTTGACAATTCCAGGGCACTCTGGGTAAAAATGTCACAACTTGGACTTAGCCACAAAGCCTACTGGATCACAGCACAATGAACTAGAATGAGGGAGAAACCAGGAATCAGAAGAATAAGGACAGAGAAGACAACCAGATCAGCTCTGGGAACTATACATGGTCCAGGACCAGCTTGGTTGGGCTTGGGCAGGTTGGCCTGATCTAAAGGGTGGGGCATGACAGTGGGAGACCCGGAGACAGGCTAGAATCAATGTCAGGTGGATGGAGAGCAGTCCCATCATAGCAGAGCTCAGTCAGTGACTGAGGATAACAAGAGAAAGGATTTGGTCTCATAGGGAATGGACCAGGCAAGAATTAAGCAGGCTGAAAGGGTCTAAATACCAGCAAAGAACTAGAGGACGCTGGAACTAAGAATAAAGCCCAAGTTTACTGGACTAACATGGTAGATGACTGGGGAGGGCTGTGGTCTGGTAGGTCTACATGGGTACTCCAGGCATCCGGCATTCTACATCATTCTCAGCCAGTCTAATTCTAAGGATTCACTAACTGATGGACAAGGGCTTGTATCTTAGGCAGGGCTAAACCTATAGGTAAAGGAAATCAGATCAGCTCTCTTATTGTGTGTACCCCTGGTTTCCTTAATATGTTTTTATGGGTTAACACATCACAATTGCAATTATTCCAATGGCTTTTGTTCCTTGCTGGTGCAAAGGACTGTTTTAGTACTGATTACCACTATATCCCCAGCACTAATACTTGGAATATAGTAGGCACATAGTATAAAGGGAAAAAAGGACCAGGGACTCCCCATGGAGGAGGCTTGAGAAAGCAGAGATGGGCCCTGCGACTAACTGTGCTTGCATCCCGGCTGTATTTCTCACCCTCCTTTACCTCCTACTTCCTTGCAAAGGTCCGAACTGGCACAGAGGAGAGGAAAGGCAGACTGGGATCATGACCTGCCTTGAAGAGCAGAGCTCAGCAGGGCAGCTCTGCCATGCTGCCACTTTTACCCCTGAGCAGCACCAGATATTCTGTTGCAATTATACATTTTACTCTTTGAATAGTGTATTCTCATGCCAGCATTTTCCTCTATGTTAAAGAAGAAAGCTACTAAAACAGTATGAGTTTCAAGGAGAGGAACGATGAGGAATAGGGAAAGGGAAGAGAGGAAGGAAAAGAAGAAAAGTAAAACATTCTATTACTGTTTGCGCCAGGACAGGATTTTTGGGTTGCCAATTGCCCCACCTCCCAGCTTTTGCCCCATCCCACCCTCTCCTGACTTCCACTCTGCCACACGTGGCGGCTCTAACAAACTGCAAACCTCAGGAGAGTCTTCCTAGAAGCAGGGAGCCCGCCCGCCACAGCCCAGCACAGCAGCCACCTTGTTCTGACCTCCTGACTTCCATACCCTATAAGCTGAAATTCTGTTGGAGTTGCTCAACTTTTAGAGCTTTTTTCCTTGTAGCCTGAGCATCCCAACCAAGCTGAAAGATCTTACCATCTAGGATGCTTCTGGAGCCAAATTATTCCAATGATCTTGGAATCATTTCCAAGAAGGGTGGGTAGTAGGAGAGAAAGAAAGACTCTGTATGTGTGTGTGTGCGTATTTTTAAACTAATGGGAAAAAAACACCATAAACAGAATTCAAGTGGGACAAAGTCCTATCCAACAGGGCATTGTAAATAGGTCTAAGAAATACCAAAGAGCATGAACTGCCTACAGAAGAACCAGGGGATGACATCATCAGCTCTAAAAAGACTTGGTATCCGAGAAAAAAAATAACACAGTGGCCCATAAAGCAAACAGATGATGGGAGCATATCTGGAACATGGGATTCTTGGCCCTGTATTTTCACACCAAATAAAAATAAAGGCCTTCAAGCAAAACCCTAAGAGGGTGGGGGGGAAACAAACAAAATGCCTTGGAAATAGCAGAGGAAATTTCCAGGTAGAGCGACTCTAGCATATATGGAAAGGACAAAGAATATTAGTATGTCATTCAGATGTATCAGTTTCTTAGAAAGGAGGGGATTTTGCCTTTTCCTCTAACACCTTCTTCAGGTAAAGTTAGTGTTCCCTGAGCCCCAGATGGGAAGGGAAGCAGCTAGAACTCCCAGCCGGTCCGCTCAGTGAGCCGGGGGGCCTTGGACTCAGGCCCAGGACCCCCTTACCAGGCTCTCTCCCAGGAAGTACGATGCTAGTTGGAGGCTCTGGCAGAGAGCAGGAAAGACCAAGTACCAGTGGGCTGAAATGCATTTTAAGAACTTCATCAATACAGTAATTATCTTCATGACACTCTTTATTGGTTTGTGGTCATGCTTTCTTTTTGAATGACAAAACTAGTTCAATACAGAAATATCTAATTGTTGTGCAAAGGAGGTATGAACACTTACCCCATAAGGGCGACACAGTACAAATGCAAAATACAGTTTATTTGGAGGAACCTTACAGGCATAGAGGTAACAGAGCTCACACAGTCCTTCAAGTACTTTCCCCCAGGAAAGAATACTCAGGCTGAGGCTATACAGATCTATTCACAAGGACCTGCTATACAATGCTCTTCATACTTACAGAGAAAGGTGACTGGGTAATGATGGAAGCTTCTAGATCACCCTGTAAGGAAGGAAGCTGTCCTGAATCTCTAAGAACAGATAATAACAGAACCTATCTCATAAGCTATTAGGGAGATTAAAATAATTAATACTTATAAAGCATGAAGAACTCTACCTGGCACATAAGTAGCTTTTTATTTTTTTAATTAAAAAACATGTATTAAGTGACAACTATGAACCAAATGCTGCTGTAGGTGCTGAAAATATAATGGTGGACATGGAACTTCTACCCCAGTGAAGTGACAGATAATGAAACAATAAACAACATAATATAAACTACAATAGCAGGTAATAATAAGCACTGTAAAGACAATAAAGTGATGAGAATTTTTTTTTTTTTACATAGGGTGATAAGGAAAGGCCTTTCTGAGGAGATGATACTTGACAAAGATCTGAAAGGAGCGAGGACATGATTCACGGCAGGCCTGTCCCCCTGGGTCTCCGATAGTGTCCCATGCCAGAGCAAACCGTGGCCTGGAGCCACTGCCTGGCCTCTGTCCATAGGCTGCCGGCACTGAAGCGGGTTGCACAGTGGGGGAAAGAAATGAAAGGAGTGAGGACCCAGATCATAACGTTATCTAGCGGGAAGAGTATTCTAGGCAAAGGAAAAAGCATATACAAATGTCCTGAAGCAGAATCATGCTTGGGGTGTTCCCAAGAAAGCAAGAAGGCCACTGTGGCTCAAGAGGTGGAAGCGAATATGGTAGCAAATGAGATCGGAGAAGTAGGCAGGGGCCAGATCGCAGAGCCCTGTAGGCCACGGTTTTGTTTAAGATCCGCGGTAAGCCATTGGTGGGAACTGAACGGTGAAGTGACATTATCTGCATCATCCGTAGAGGAATGGTGAGGGTAAGAAGAAAAGTAAGGAGAGTTGCTAGGAGGCAATACTTGAGATGTGAGACACTGGAACTTGAGACTGGGTAGCAACAGCAGAGGTAGTGACAAGAAGCTGGATTTGAAGGGAGAAGTTACAAGTCTTGTTGTCAGGTTGAACACAAGGTGTTAGAAAAAAAGGGATGACTGAAGTGTTTGAACGACTCGTGAGAACAGTGTCTGTCACCACTCACTGAGATGAGCAGCGTTCAGGAAGGTGCCGTGGGGGTGGGGGTCATTAGAATTTGGTCTTGGACATGTTGGTTTTGAAGTATAAATTAGACAGCCAAGTCCACTAGACATTGGCAATGAGCATTTGTGGTGGGACAATGAATCAGAACCGTGATGCAGTAAGCGTCCCCTGAGGCGCGTTTGAGGGCCCGTAGGAGGGAGAGCAGCAGGATGGGGGACAGGAGCCACTTTGCCGAAGAAGACTGAATGCTCAGAGACTGGGGCGGGGGACTGCGTTAGTGAAGGGACGGCGGCAGCGTTTGGGCAGGTAGGGCAAAGGGGTTTCCTTCCAAGATCTAAATAGTCTCACTTGCTTTTTTTCTCTGTCTCCTGATTCTGAAGTTGAGGATATGAGGCAAAGGTAACTTCTTTAACATTTCTAAGCCTCTTGTTTTTATCAGTACAGTAAAGAAGGTAGACCAACAATACTAATAACAGTTAATAATTATTATTTTTCTATATGTCAGGCCCAGTACTCATCCCTTTATAAGGATTGTCTCATTTAACTGCCCCAACAACCATGGGAAACAGATGTCATATTACAGAGCAAACTGAGATTTAGAAGGGTCAAGTAACTTCCCCAGGGTCACATGGTTTGTAAGTGGTGAAGGAACAGAGACCAGGATTAAAATCAAGACACTGATTCTAGAGCCTGCTAAACGTTCTGCTTCCAGTTCTCACGCTCTATTACTTCAGATCAAAATTCCGCCTCAGGTAAGTACTATATTACACAGCACGCTTGAGAAGCACTGGCATGTTTGAATCTAGGGTGCCTTACGGCAATAGCAGCTGGCCAAGATCAAATGGTGTGGTAGGCTAACGGTGCCCCATTGCCCCCTCCCCATGGACATGACGATGTCCACCCTAATCTATGGGACAGTTATATTAGATGGCAAAAGAGATTTTGCAGATGTGGCTCCACTGGAAACCTTGAGATCAGAAGATTGCCCTGAATTATCCCAGGGGTTACAAGAATCACAAGGGTTCTTGTAACGAAGGAGATAATGTGAAGATGGGAGTAGAGACTGAAACTGGAAGACAGTTCGCTGGTAGCTCTGAAGACAGAAGAAAGGTCCATGAGTCAAGAAATGCAAGAAATATAGCTCTAGAAGCTTCAGGAAGAGAAACAGATTCTTCCCCAGAGCACCCAGGAAAAGGCAGTCTTGCCGACACCTTGATTTAGCCCAAGGAAATTTTGGACACCTGGCCTCCAGAACAGTAAGAGAATAAATCTGTGTTGTTTTTCAACTGTTAAATATGTGGCACGTTGTTACCGCAGCAATAGGAAACTACTACGAACGGGTTAGTGTAGCAGGCATGGATGAAGACCCGAGACAGATCTAGAATTGGTGAGGTGGAGAAAGTTGCCAGGCATCTTCAAGGGTAGAACAGTCTGTGAGAAAATGCTAAGAAGTGGCCTCAAGCAGAGGGTGACTGTAGTTTCTAACACAGCTCCTAGAAGGCCGTCCGTCCTGAAGGTCAGGGCCTGATTCCCTGTTATTCAAAGGTGTGTTGCAGCAAAGCATCTTCTGTTGGTCTGGCCAGGCTTTTTTCCAGGCTGAGGACTGGCGCACCCCTCCGAGGTGAGGTGGGTCCCAGGCCCTGGGGGTTGAGGAATGGCACCTTGGCTCAGCACCTAGCACAGTCCCTTGTACGTAACGGGGCTTCAGTAAACTTTGTCCCTTGTTTTGTCCTGGTCATGTGGCTCAGGAACAAGAAACACACGCATATCCACCCACATATATACATATCTCAGAATTGAGACAAATGTTTTCTCACTTTAGATTTTTAAATAAAATAAAGCCCTAGAAAAAAAATTTCTACCCAAACTTAAAGGATTAAGGAAAGTAATCAGACAAAGGGAGTGGCTCTGATTCTAAGGAAATTCACACCACTTTTCACAGATATCCAGATTCATGAGCACCCCACCCATAGAAATAAAAAATGTTGCCTTGGCTGGTGGGACTCAGTGGATTGAGTGCCGGTCTGCAAACAAGCTGTTCGCAGGTTCAATTCCCAGTCTGCGGCATGTGCCTGGGTTACAGGCCAGGTCCTCAGCGAAAGGCGTGTGGCGGGGCAGCCGCGCATTGATGTTTCTCTCCCTCCTTTCTCCTCTCTAAAAATAAATAAATAAAATCTTTTAAAAAAAGAAATAAAAAACGTCAGTGTTAGCAATAACATGTTACCACTGTACCTGATTTATCTCTGGTTCTGGGATAACTGCAAACATGTCATAATAATTTAGTTTTAATCAACCACTGTATATATAACTAATTGAAATACCAGTGCTCTACCATTTTTAATCAGGACAATCTAAATTTCCTGAAGTTGGCCCCTGTAAAGGCAGCTTGCTAAAAAACTCAGAGTATTGCCTGATTTGCTCTCCAGGAAAGCATTACTCACAGGACGACATTACAGCATTTCAGAGCACTGAGGGCCTATAGAGAGCTTCAAACACTATTGGTTTGAGTGACATTGAGTCAGATTTCAATGGGGTTTGGCCGATAGTCACAGAATTTACAAATAAGACACCAGATACAATGTCATTTTTTTATTATTAACATTTTTCTGACTATTGAAAACCATCTCACACGGGTTGGTGTGGCTTAGTGGACAGAGTGCTGGCCTGTGAACCAAAAGGCCACTGGTTCAATTCTCGGTCAGGGTACATGACTGGGTTGTGGGCCAGGTCCCCAGTTGGGGGTCCTCCACCCTCCACTAGCAGTTGACCCACCCAGATGACACCAAATGGAACAGAAAGGTGAGCTATGCCCACCAACTCCTGACCAAATTGCAAAATCATTAAAAAAATAAATAATTAATATTGCTTTAAGCTACAAAGATTTAGGATGGTTTATTATATGTCATTAGATAAAATAAATGACATCGTTCTGTTCATTAAAGTAAGACTCTTTGTGACTTTTCCTCCTTTGTTAATCATATTGCTTTCTTTCACTTAACTTCTTTATACTTCAATATTCCATTGTTCACTTTTTGATAATATGCCTTAGTGATCAGTTAGGATGATTTCTCAATATTAGAAAACACTATGGAAAAATACGTAGATCTGATGTATGTGGCTTCCCAGTTTTCAACAATGCAATAATCATTTTTCATTATGAAGATACAGTTTTTCAAAGAATTGTCCAAAAAACATACCAGATCGCTTTTGGAGCAATAAGCGGTAATTTATTAGAGAGAAACATAAAGGCATGTGAAAGCTCATGTGCCTCTGAACGTATCTTACTCATGTCAGGTGAAGACAGGATGTTTTCTAAGTCAATGAATGGGCTTCTTTATAAGAGGTAATCTCTCTAATGCATCCAGCCATGTCAACTAGAAGTGCCAACCATCTGTCTCTTTGAAGCACTCCAGCATGCAGAACCCTAGGAGCTGATAAGATATTCCATGCCGTAAGACACTAGCAGGATAAAAACATCCCTTTATTCAGCATTGCTTTTAAAACTCTGACCTGCCAAAACAAAAAGAAAATATCCTGAACAATACTTAGTAAATTCAACACCAGAACAGGTCCAAATGTTAATAATTCATTTTAATTATCTGCATGTATTTAGTACATCATTTGACAACTTTCACATGCCTGATATTTTAGGGACTGAACTTTAAAGTATGCATCCTTTTGCCTTAAACCCAAGATATGTTTAGATGTCTATACTCTTTGCTTTTAGGAGGAAGGAGATCCTTTAGAATCAGCCCTATTAGTCACAACATCTTGGTAGTAAGCCGTCTCTCTGAGTCTTAATTTTATAACATACTAACATAAACACCCTCCCCTTACCATTACTGTTTTTTGTTCCTAGGAGAAATGTAGAATTTCTCTCTAAAGATCTCCTTTCTAAATTTGAAATTGACATTATCACACTTTTTTGGCAATGTTAGTCACTCAGTCAGTCAGTAAGATTTTTTTGAACACTTGCTATGTTTCAGGCATGGTTCGGGGAACTATAGATTTAGCCATGAACCAAAGACAAGGTCTATTCTCATGGACCTTAAATTTTAAGGAGGAATGACTCAGTCAATTTTTAAAAAATGAGTGAACAAGATAATTTCAGGAATTGCTTGAAGAATATATAACCTAGTGATGTGCTAGAGCGTGTCTGGGGTGGGGGCTTCTCTAGATTTGATGCCACTCCTCTCCTGGCCTGACAAGGAGGGACTGAGAAACAAGTAGAACTTCCATATGTAATATGCCAAAGCCTTCTTCAATGGCAGCAGGGACAGGAAATAATCTTAGAGAGATTCTTTTGATGTGAACTTATTTTTTTTCCCATTTCTTCTGGTTGGAGCCAGGCGAGGAGATATGAGAGCCCCGGACGTCAGGAAGCAGGCAGCTGCCACAACAGATTATCACAAGCTGGGTGGCTTGAAACAGAAATTTATTCCCTCACAGTTCTAGAGGCTAGAAGAGG